ATATACTGACCTCCATGTTTGCTTTTACAAACAAGTAACAGAAAATGAGAGGCAATTTATTTTTTAAAAATCATAGTGAAGATTTTTTTATAAAGCAATACAGTATTTTTTGCTATGCATAGCTTATTTAGTTTTCTAGCAAATGTCTCCTTAGAAGCTCAACTGAAAGGATATTCTAAAATTTTCAAGGTACTTCAAATGATCAAACTTTAATCAGTAATTTTTATCTTCAGCCTCTTAGGTGGGAGAAAATTCAGAGCACAGCAGACCTTGTTCGTTGTGCTGGTTCCTAGGAGGCTGGCTGGTTTGGCTGCTGAATTTAGTTGGCTGGTGAGTGCATATGACCACTTCCTGGCAGATGTTCAGATCTGGCAAGATTTTTGTAGTCGTTACCCAGAGGGGAAGAGACAAGTGTTTTGAACCCAGAAGGACTTCAGCTTTATTTTGGAAACATGAGGGTTGAACGCTACAAAATCTGAAGACAAATTCCTTTATGGGCACAAATTGCATACCTGTATGAAAACCCAGTACCTTTTCCTTTAAATACATGGGTAACAAGATAAGACTCTTACATTAACATGATTTTATCTTGCTCAAACTTGGTGCTATGTACAACAGGATAAGCCATTGTACAGTAAGAATGAATATCACATATTTAAATGGCTGATCCCTATGCTGATAAAACTGTTTAAAATCATAAATTAATTTTTTTTTTGGTGGGTATTCATCAAGACAATATCGTTTCCAAGTCTTATATCAAGGAAATTATAATCCTTCATTCTTTGTGATTTTTGGGATGGTGCTTCATGTAGAACTGTAGGAGGAAAATATACCCTAGACAGCTTTCCATTCCAGTGATTTCATTAATGATCAAATGCTTTTAAGTGGCACACAGCACCTTGAAGGATCGCAGACAATATATCTTTCCCAACAGGTAAATCCTAATGATTGAACCTAGTATATAATGTATGCTTAACCTTTGTTGTCATCAAAACACACAATGGCAGTTCAAAACTCATTAGTTTTAATTTTAGATGCCCAGAAAGGCTGGATCACAATTATATAAGCTGTCTTCATTTATCCCTAGTCTTATCATAATTGTATTTCCTCTAATTTGTTCCAATGGTGAATGTTTCAGATATTGAAAGAGGTACTGCCCATGAAGTACTTTATTGTATAGGGTTCAAACTGGCAATGATTAGAAATGAGCCAGCTTGTCTTCACTTGGCTTTGAAATGCTCTATTTCAAAATAGAGCACTACATCCCATGTCTGCATAAAACATGGTCTCAAGTAAACTTTTAGTCAAACAGTTTCATCTGTTTAAGACTATGGTTATTTTTGTCTACACATATAATTCAATTTTTTTAAAGTTTCACTGAAAAACCACTGGTCTATTGAAAATAAGATGACGTATTACTTGAAGTCAGGAACTCTACTGACTTACTATAAAATTCTGTTTTAATGCTGCCATTGAGATCATAGAATCATAGAATGGTTTGGGTTGGAAAGGACCTTAAAGATCATCGAGTTCCAACCCCCCTGCCATGGGCAGGGACACCTCCCACTAGCCCAGGTTGCTCAAAGCCTCATCCAGCCTGGCCTTGAACACCTCCAGGGATGGGGCATCCACAGCTTCTCTGGGCAACCTGTTCCAGTGTCTCACCACCTGCACAGTGAAAAATTTCTTCCTAAAATCTAATCTAAATCTACCCTCTTTCAGCTTATACCCATTACCCCTCGTCCTATCACTGCCCTCACTGATCAGGAGTCTCACCCCACCTCTCCTGTAGCCCCCTTTAAGTACTGGAAGGCTGCTGTAAGGTCTCCCCAGAGCCTTCTCTTCTCCAGGCCGACTAACCCCAACTCTCTCAGCCGTTCCTCGTATGGGAGGTGCTCCAGCCCTTTGACCATCTTCGTGGCCCTCCTCTGGACCCACTCCAATAGGTCCAGATCATACTACTTCAACATGGTTTCTAAGGAAACTGAAGTCTACACACTGATGACCATCCAACAAGAAAAAAAAACAACAACCCTGCCCCAGTATCTCTCCTTAGTGGGCTTATACTGAGAGCAGGTTAAAAATATTTTACTATAACTCAAATGAAAAAATATGTTCGGTCATTCTGTTCACATTTTGCTATATAAAAAGTGAACATAAGCTGTTAAAAAAAAACTACTTAAAATAATCTCCACAGACTTATTCCTTTATACAATTATTTTCATTGGATAATCTTTTTACACTGGGAAAGGATTCTTTAGCTGAAAACCACTTTATAAAGGATCAGACATTTTGTTTGTATACCATATATAGCCTGGATCTTTGAAAACGTCCTGTCCTTAATTGCTTATACAAAGTGAGTCATGGTGCAAATTGGTATTCACAAGTTATTATGTGCATTCATTTATTTTTTTTTTCCTTTTTACGGGCATCTAAAGATTAGATTTATAGGTAGTGCTGAAATGCATTTTATTTTGTCTTGTAATCAAGATTGCAATATACTTTACAGTCACATTCTGTATGGATTTCAAACTTGTTGTCATGATGATGGTTTGGGTGTTTTGTGGGAGGAGGGTTGTATCTCAGAGTATTGGTTTGGTTAAATAAAATACATGGACAAAAGATAAAGTAAGTTTCAAGCAGTTCTATGAAAAACAGTATTTTTCCCAAGTGTTACAAACATACAAAAGCATACAAAAATCTGTAGGGCTAAGTTCTTATGCGGGTTTTTTTAAACCTATTTTTAATGGAAAAAAATTGAAGCGGAATATAAAAAATAGTGATTTTTCTCCTTGAAAATGGTTGTGATACTGTCAAAATAAACTTTTCATTAGAAGATGAAAATGTCGTTTTCTTCAACAGCTGTGTTTGGATTAAGGTCTGAAATTTCAATTTTGTCAAGGAGGAAAGTTTTTGTGAGGGAGAAAAAACCCATTTTGACTGCCTATAATATATAATATATGCAGGATATATATAGGTACACATGCAGGAATACAGAGCCAGCATCTCCGCTGGTGTAAAACGTCTAAGTGTCTCTGAAGTCTCAACTTGCTTAACTAACATCAGCTGTGAATCTCACCTAAGAAAGACATTTCCACCTCTCTGTGGAATGCTGAAGCCAGTCTCTGTATGACACGATTCTGATATAAAAGGCATAAATCTAGTAGTAGAGGGAACTACAGAGCTAACCTTCTGAGCACCAGAACACATCAGTGGCAAGAAACAGAGGTATGGCTGTAACGTTACTTAATAATGTAGTCTTGAAAAACTACTGAAGCAAAAGCCAAGCTTGTCTGTAAGAAGGCTACTAAAATTATTTTAAGATCTTCAGAAGAACTGTGTTTGCAATGTTATTCTTTAAGACTAAGACCACCTAAAATGATAATGAATTTTTCAGGTCTCAGGGTAAAGCCTTCAATGTACTGGTTGCTGATCAATGTGGTACTTTTATTTGAGTGAGTAATTCCAGAGATGTGTTTTCTAGGTGGTATTCATTTTACTTCTAAAGCTTTTAACAAATATATATATATATAAAAGATGCTTACATAGCACAGTAATAGTAAATGCGGTATTTTCAGGCAAGCACACCAAATTCAACTATGCTGATGACTCTGAACTTCCATGTTAGCAAGAAAGCTCCCTGTTGTGATGTTTATTGGCACCCAGATTTGTAAAGCTGTACCTTAATGTGTTTTAGTATCTAACTGCACATTTCTATGTAGCAGCTTTTCAGAATTAAACTGAATGCTATTAAGCAGTACTACACATGAAATGTAGTGAACAATATTTCAGAACCTAACTTGATTCATTTTAATTTTCTAGTTACATTGGAGAATATACCATTTTGCCAAGTGCAACTCACACTTCTATATTTTACTTTCTTTGGTATGCTCTGGGCTTTTTACAGTTTAAAACTTCCATTAAAGTGCATCCTTCAATAAGGATTGCAGAATTTAAAGATGATGAAGAGTTTCATCTGACAGGGAGCAGCTCCTCTTGTTTTCCAGTGCTTTCTCCGGACTTGTTTCAAATGATGGAATCCTCTAATTTGTTTTAGAGAACTTTCACTATGATATATATGTCTAATTAAATGGGGAGGAAAAAATCTATGCTTATGAGTACGTAACTTCAGGTGGATGGAGCTGAAATTAATGTACATAAAATTTGGATAGCTCCCCTACTAAGCTACCAGAAAATATATTTATCAATGCCTGATTTTTTTTATGCTGATCTTTATAAAGTGCAACACTTGCTTCTAGTAATTATTTGGTTCCAGAGAATAAATTAATTGTGGCTAAGGAAGTCCTTGCTACAACATTCAGAGGTGCACTTCTTGCACTTATTTGAATTATCAAATTCAGAGCACTGCCACTGACTCCACTGGTTTTACAGAAGATTTGTGTGCTTCATCAAAGATCAGAATCTAGCCTCAAGATTTTTTGCCCTACAGACCTATATTCTTCTTCTTTCCTGAGTTACAGAACCAGCTCTGCTCTGTTGCAAAGCTCAAAAGTAGCAGTGATTCTCCTTCAGCATCTGATTTGGTTATCTGAGTTAAAAGTGGAGATATTTCAGGCAAGAAGTTATCAATGCCTCTATGGAGCATTTAGATACTGAAATCTTTGAAAAACTTCTGCTACACATTGCGTAGAATGGTATAGGATGTAATTATGGGAATGACAGATTTCAGTGTTAAGCCCATTTTTTGTTCTGCTTTTGGATGGAAAGGAAAACTGAAGACCAAACTGGTCTGGTTGAGGACTTCTGAATCCTCTTTTGTTCATTTTGTTCTCTCAAATTTGAAACATCACTCCCTCTCCCTGCAAGGTGCCCAAGGCAGATGGCCATCCTTCCTGTCTGAATGGTGACGGGCTTTCTCCAGGCTGGCAAGAATGTTATTCCATAGGACCATCCAGTCAAGGAGGACACGTGAAGGGACCTTCCACCATTCTCTTCTAAGACAAAGCTTAGCAAGTAACTACAACGGAATGCAAGTTTGGTCAATTTAAGAACTCAGCAGAGAGGCTTCTACTGTACCTAGCGGATCGGAACTTGAGCTCATGGTAACATTGCACAAAGCTGTGATAAATGAAAGTGATCGGCAAGGCTAATAAAACAATGCCACTAACCACACAAATTCCTCCAAGAATTCTTCCTGGTACAGTGATGGGACACATGTCACCATAACCAACCGTGGTCATCGAGATGATCACCCACCAACAAGCAGCAAATCCTTATTCTTTGTTCCCAAGTCCAGCCCATTTTCAAGAAGCTGGGAAAGTGCACTGAAAATTGCCATAGCAACACAGATAAAGACAAGTAGCATCACCATCTCTCTGTAACAACGCTTCAGAGTCAGACCAAGGGTTTGAAGGCCAATGAAATGACGAGCCAGTTTAATCACCCAAAAAATCCTCATCATTCTTAAGACCCTCAAGGTGACTCCAGCCCTCTGAAGCTGCGAATTTTCCCCTGTGAAAACTGTCATTAGAACAGAGATGTAGTAAGGAGTAATTGCCAGTAAATCAATGATGTTGAGAGGTCTTCTGACAAACTCACACTTGTTTTTGGAGACGATGAACCTCACAATGCACTCTGCAGTGAACCAGCCTATGCAGATAGCTTCAATTATCCTGTCAAAAGAAACAAAGTACAGTATTTAGGTTATGTGGAAAATCTTTAGAGGATGTTTGGTTTGTTCACAGATATTACCAAACTGACACTCAGACCTTCACACACGACAAAGAGAAAGCCACACTATTCTTATCCTGCTCATGTAGCACCAGATTTCAGCAATTAACCCAAGGATCTAGTGAGGAGTTTAAACTGATCATTGCTAAGAACTCACTGATCGTTTTCTTTGAATTCCAGATTGTTACTGGTCTTAATGTTGGCAAATGCAGCTACAAAAACTGGAGCCCTGCAGGAAATGGTATGCCACTGATGCCCATGTGTAACATTATCTAGAACCTTTTTTGTTGTTGTTGGTTGGGTTTTGGGGGATTTTGTTGGTTTGTTTGTTTGTTTGTTTTAAATCTGTGAGGCCTGATCTGCTTGGGAATGCCAAGGACTGTGCATTAGTGAACTGGCTGGTTATGAACAGCAATGTATAGAATCTGACTGCTGAACTAAAATGGAAGTAAAGATGGAGCAGGCAGAAATCAGCTTTTGCATTGGATAATTCATGCAAATTGGCTCTTCAGAAACCAACTTAAACAAGTCTGTCTGTCTTTCATCCCAAACAGGGACTTACCTATAACTCTACTGAGAACTTTATAGGTACAGCCACTAAAGACAGATGGTATTTTGTTTTCATCATTGTGTACAGAAAGCAATAAGTTTGTGTCCGCCCATGTACCACTATGCTCTGTGTTACTGAATTTCTTCTTCTGTTTTAAATGTGACCTAAACTGTGTTGCAACAAAAATGTCAAGGTAACCAAAGCAACAGGCGAGATCATCTTCTTGACAAATATGAATAATGACCTTAAGAAAATAAATCCTGGAAGTTGAGTTCAGTATGTTCTTAAATGTTTTGAAGTGCCGGTGCAGTGAATGAGACTTGAGAATATCTCAGCCTGAAAACAGTGGAAGGCAGAACCAGTAGATGAAAACGTTGCTCTAAGATTATTTAATAACTGTTGTGCATGTATTCTCAAATCTCCCATGAAAATAACCCTTTTCTTAAGTATTCAGGCTGTGTTCACTTCTTTAATACAGGAGGGAATGGGAGCTAATCTTTTCCTCTTTCCTTTGTTTATCATTTTTTACCAGCAGTTCGAGCAAAAAAAGCCCATCACCAGTGCCTCCTCATACCAACAGGTCTGAAACCAAAGTGATGTGAGATTGGGGATTTGAAAATGCTACATGCAACCAGAGCTTTTTTGCTACTGCAGGGATCCTAAAAAGGTAGTGTCTGTAAAAATTTAATGATTTGCAAGTAATAAGCCGACTGTCATTTCAAACCTAAAATTTTGCTTCCCTAATACATCTGCATAATTTTTACCAGTTCTGAAATCTATTGTTATTATTAAGACAGTGGCCTGTTAGAAAGACAATATTATTCTGTAACTGCTGTAATTGTATGAACAGACTCTATAAACTAACTTTCCAAAAAGTTTCATACACTAAAGTTTTGTTTATTTTTTATTAATTTCATTTTATTCGTTCATTTACTTTTATGCTAAAAATTGAGGAAACAGTAACGGTCAGTTGATGTAAAGTACACTGTCATTCCAGTCAGAGCAAATTTAAATGAACATAAATTAATTACTTAAATAAATAGTTATTCACATAAAATCAGACCTTGTGTTTCTTGTTTCATGAAAAACAATGAAAATTCTGTAACCAAGTGACCTTTCTTCATAAAGGGCTTATGAAACACTTGTTCATGTTAACACCTTTTGGTGGAAAGACTTGTGAATTTAAAGAATAGCTTGCTCTTAAGAATTATGTGTTCTCTGAAAAACTGAGCTTTTGAAAATACTAGTGCTTCTTTTAATAATGACAGTGAGTGATAACTAGCTCTGATGCAGATTTAATTTCTCTTTAGAAATGCTCAGGTCATAATGTCATCTAAACAAAAGTCATGTACAGAATATATGAAAGTTGTATGAATATGGATTATCATTCCTGTATGTTGGAAAAAATGAAGAAAAAAATGTTAATGGGCAAGTGCTCGTAAATCCTTTTTACACGTGATGAAGAAACACCTGAGACTTGCTCTAGTAAAATCAGTCAAACAGCAAAATGGACACACCAATAAAGTCTGAACCTACTTATACGTTGGCTAATTGAGAGCTCATGTAACAATTAGAAGAAAAATTTTATCTGAATAGAAAGTTGCAGCCAAGCTTATTCAACAGTTCCAACAGACTCTATTTCATTATATTTTATGTGATTTCTATGGTAGTGCTGTCTGTGTCCTACGACATGGAGCATTTAAATGAAAAAGCAATTTGTAATTATACAATTTAAAGCTTTTTCACTCAGTATTTCCTCCTGATGCCCTGATTATGTTGGAAATGTGATTCCTCCATTTTGTCACAGATTAGGCGGGTTATCCCCGAGTCAAGCTGTAAGGAAGCTGGGTTCTGATTGTTATGATTCAGTAGAAGTCTTCTTTATGAATCAACACTGATTCAGTGGTCCAGTATAACTTTGGGGAGTCATTGTGCAAGTAGAAATCCATGAAATGTGATCAATCCATTGTTCTACTCTGGCAGTTCCTACCTAGCACAAGAGATACTGTCAATCAGTTATACTTCAGTAGGAAGGACTGATGAAGTCTTTTATTGTAGAATGGTCTTGAAGAGAGCTAAGGAATATCAGTGATGCAAAAATGACTAAGCAAGGTCAAGACAGTGGGAGATGCATTGCTGCCACTCCATTAATTTCTCCATTCTACACCTGTCCTTCTCATGAATTATACGCATCCTGGCTAAGGAGAAGATAATGAAGAAGGGTGTCCCTTATTTTTTTTCTTTCCTCTCCTTACTTCTTAGCCACCAGTGAAATATTTTTCATTTTTTTCCTCTCTTGTCATGCCTTTTTGCCTGTGCAGATGGATTTCAGCAGTCCTGGTGAATCACATAAAGGTGTGTGCTTTGGTGAGAAGAACTAGAAACCTCTGGCCTGGTGGGAAATCTGGAGTGCTACATACTACGTTTCCACTTTCAGGTCAAGTCTCCCTCTCCTTGTAGTGACTTATCTTTATAGCTAATCTTGTTAATGTATAAATAACTTCTAATAAGGAAAGCAAATCAGTTAGTCCTCAAGAGAACTTAACTGAATATGAAGTTAAAGACTAATAAAATGCATGCATTTTACTCTGTTTTCTGTAATCAATCTTAAAATATTTGCTGCCTTTTATTGCCTATTCCTAAAATAATGCTGTATTAAAATCTATAATTATGTAATTAAATCATGAGGTCTGTTTGGTAAAATGAAGTACCTACTTTATAAACTTCCATCACAGTATTTGGTTCATTTTTTCCCCTCCATCAGTTCAGTTTTAAAATAGCTGGTAATCAAAAAGGAGAGGTGAAATTAAAAACAAACTCATGGAGGGTTGCCTTGAAGATTCCCCACAAAATGTATAAAAAAATAAGAGAAAATACTAAGTCCTAATTTTTATTCAGTTACAGGTTATTTCTGCTCAAACTTACTCTTCATTTTCCCAGACCTAAGCACATAAAAGAATGCTTTTCTCCTAAAAATTTTAAGCCTCTTGGTACTTAACAGTCTTTCAAGATTGCGCTAGTGAGTCTTTTCTCCATAAACGGAAAATCAAGCCTTTGAGAGCCTCATTTCTACTGTAATCCCATCACAGTTCAATTTCTGTTCCATCTGATAACTTCCTTTCAGAATAAGCTATTTTATGTACGAGTTAAACCACTTCAGAAATTATTTTTTCAATCACTAACAAGATTAGTGTGTTATTACTAAAAGAATCATATCGTGAATATCTTAGAATATTTCGGCTTGGCATTATTCTTTGCCCTCACATGCCAATTTGTATATTTTCAATATCCCTTGGTGAGCTGGCTGAAATCTAGACAAAATATTGGTTAGTGGCACTATTATCTATTAAACTTGTAAATAAAACATGCACATCAATGGGACACATGAGGAAAACAGATGATATGATTAAAGACAGTATATGACAGGATTAAAGACTAAAGTCTGTCAGCACTGATTTGTTAAATTGTTGCTAAAGCCTGTTTCCATGTAAAGCACATTAAACCTGAAAAATGTCCAAGCAGTAGCCAGAATGATCAAATTCCTTCTCAGGAAGACTCCTAATCATGTCAGCAAATGTCTTTTTTTTTTTTTTTTTAATCCTTTTGAAATCAACAGGGTTCATATCTCACTACAAACTGCAGACTAAAGGCTAAAGAAGAGCTAGTTTCCCTGCATTAAAAACCTTGCTGGCTTTTTCCATTCTGTCCCTGCTTTGGTAGCAGTATGTCTTGATGCATTAAATTCTGGTGCCTTACGTGGGAGGCTGTAATGACCCAGCACTCCCCAGGGAAGGGGCAAATGCTTTTCACAGCTCTCGGGGGATACCTGGATATGACCATCTCGAGCCCTGAGGTCCTCAGCATCTTTCCATGCACTTTGAGCCCTGTTGAGTTCGTTAAGGTTCTCCTTCGGCCAGGCGGTCATACACGTCTGTTCTTTGTGTTATCTCTAGTTTTCAAAAAGCTTGTAAATTAATTAGAACAATACACATCTGGATTTTTAACTTAGGTCTGTAGTTCCATTCTTTACCTTCAGCCTACTGTTTTAACTGAGCAAAAATGTGGTGTTCGGATTAGATCTTACCCAGGAAATAAGTTATTTTTTTTTTAACAGATGTTGGATGTGAGCATTCAGGTGAAATTTCAGAAAACTACCATAAAGGAATAATAATTTTTGTGTGTCTAAAATTCAAATGCAACTTCTTAAGCAGATGTTTTGCAGAGATGAAGAAAAGCCCACTGGCATCTGTTGAGAGACGCTGTTGGGAGAAGTAACTGTGTTTATTTACTTTTGCTTAAGAACACAGCAGTCATATAGGCTTGATAACTGAGTGATTCTTTCAATACAAATTGAATCATGATTAGTAAGTGGAAAAGGGGGAACAGTCTTTCCCTTGTGCTAACAAGCTTCTCGGATTTAGTGTTAGAAAAATAAAGGCAGGTAGATAGAACTGTGCTGGCAGTATGTCAAGAAGCTTCAAATGACTCCCTATTACAGGCTTGAGAAGCTCTCCCCAGAAGATTATGCTTACAATCAGTGTATGGACGGGTCCCTGATCAGAGGCTGATCAGAGGCTCGCAGTATGCATCTGCTGGCACAGTTCAGAGGAGAGCAAAGATGACTTGAAATTGCCAGAAGCAACAGAAGGGGAGACAGGTGTCCCTGCTGTCTGCTCCTAAACTGTGCAAATCTGATGCAAATCTTTAGCTCTGATAAGTGAAACGTGCCAAGGCAGGGAAGAGAGCAAAATCTTAAAATGCAAGAAATTTAATAACCCATCCCTCATCCTAAGAACAGACCTGGGGAAGGCAACCCCTCTGCAAATCAGGAAATTATATTGTCAGTGTCTGTAAGATCTGTGAATTTCAGATGTCAGATTTCACATCCCTCTCTCCTTAAAAACACTTACTCGTGGCATTTTCTGTGGCTCTCTGAAGGGTGTTACTCCAAAGGATCAGAATTAGTCATAGGTTGGTCACCCTTTGCGAGCGTGGTCATTGTGAAAAGTCATAACAACATAATGGTTTCTGAGAAAAGTTCAGTGGACTCAATTTCTCTTCTGGTGAAGAGGTGTTCGTGTGAGAAAAATAAATGCAACTGGTATTAGTTGCCAGCCGCAGTAATGCTCACTGCAAACCTCATTAAAGAGGGTGATTTTGTAAATTAGGAGTTGGTGACCTCCTTACTTCTCAAGATGATGTCTAGGTGAGCTGGAGACACACTACCAAAGCTGTTTTCAGTACAGCTGCCCAAAGTGGTTCAGTTAGTCGTTCATTAGTGTCACAATTTCTCTTGACAAAATAAATTAAATTATTGTGTTATCATGTTAGGTAGAATTTATTTATTTTGATGAGGAACCTTGGTTAATAAACAAAAGACAGAATTTGGCTTCAGACTTTTACATGTATCCGAAACTAGCGGACAGATTTTTAAAAGCCATCTCACCTAAGATGGGCAGTATTGTCCAGTACGCAATCCCAGACACTCCTGTGTGATTTCTGTGGTCACTTTCAAATAAGCCACTTAGCTATTTAGGTTTTGAAAACCTAAGTCATGTAAAATGAAATAACTACAAACAAAAGAGAATATAAACAAATAAAGGGAAATAAAGTCAGATGGCAACTGGGCATGTTAGGTCAGATCCTATGGCAAGTGTAAGTGGTTGTAACTTCACTGGATCACTCAGTTAAAAGCAACTATAGCTCACACCTTTTTTCCCAGATATAACAGGTTTTTTAGTCATGATGCAGCACACACAATAAAGAAAGGAGTGGCTCCTGGAAAAGAACAAGTCCACCTCAGCAGGTGACCAGCTGTGGACAGAGTCTCTGTTTTCCATGTGTTCAGCATTAAATTGCTATCCATTGCCGTGCAGTGAGAGCACATGGGTTAAATCACACGTGAAATGAACCAACGTGTACTGGTGTTTATATGCTTTTGCAAGAAGATGGTCAGAAGCTGGTCAGCCACAACTTTTACTCTTTCTGGAGTACTACAAGTACTGCAGAAACTCACCCTACCATTGGTAGTTGTCCTTTTGGTTTTAAAAGCAGCCTTCCCTGCCTTGTGCTTGGCTACACTGTACCTTACAGGTATTTAGGATCTTATCCTTCAAACACTTGGTATGCAATATGCAATCGTTCAGAAGGTTAAAATTACATGTGTATATAACACACATGTTCTTGAAGGCAAAGGCACTATGAAAGAAAAATTACACATCCTATGCCTTGTTCCCCTGCAAGTTGAACTCCTTCAATAAGAGAAAAACTGTTGTTGACTCCCACACCATGAAGATGTGAACAAAGGTATGACCAATATCATTAATGCTGTGGCAGGGCTGCATCCATTTTCCCATCTGTCGGGGGTATCTAAGCAATTTGCTGCCTTACAAAAATAACACCCAGAGCATCCACCCTTTGAAATACCTTGCAGAGCTTAAGTAAGGCTTTTTAACTGGAACAACCTGCAAGAGCAACTGTTGACATAACTGAATCTAAGCAGGAATCAACAGCTTCTCAATCTGTATCTCCTTTCTTTTTGTTCATACAATTAGTTCTTTGGCTCAGCTACAATGAAAAGTACAGGTGCAGTTTTCCATTAAGCTAATGGAAACCATGAAAATACTTTCCAAGGAATTAATTTGGCTACTAAGATATAATATAACACATTCCAATTAACTCTATGGTAAAAGATGATGATTTCACAATGACAAGGCTACGATTTCACTGTCGGGCCCCTTTAGCAGAGCAGAAGTTTGTTGTTGAATATCCTGTCTGTTTTAAAAGAAGGGAGAAGCTACCAAGTACAAGAAATGTTTACTTCTTTCTTTACATGTCTGTCTTATTTATGGGAGAAACCCTAACAGCATGGTCTTGATTCAGTTCTCTAGGGAACAGAAGAGAGCAAGCAATACTGAAATCAGCAGAGTTGCATAGATGTAACCCTAAGCTGAGGTCACAAAGAAGATGAAAACAGTTCTTCTGACTAGTAAGGCTCGGGATGGAGCCTTATACCCCATGCCCTGGTTTCTGCAAGTATTTTGCAATGTTTAGTGCGCTTACACACATTTTATCTATAGGAAATGTAAACATCTGTTACATTCATACATTGGGGTGCTTATGCGATGCAATTTGCAAGAGCTTAATGCTCAGTCTGATCATCTCCTGTGCTCCTCACACACAGAATGTGAGATGCAAAGAGGAACGGGGGTAAGGCTGTTCCCACATGCAAGATTTTACAAGAGCAGAACTGTAACAGGCACTGGATCTGCTCCAGCGGAAGGACATGTATGAATACACACCGTACATACACGACTGAGTGTTTCCCAAAGGGAAATAGAAGGAAATTGCATTATTTTAGGGTTTTATTTCCCTTTTTCCCCACAATCATTAAGGCCTAATATGATTTTCCGACTGTTTGAACGTGGGTAAAGAGTCCCGTGGCTCCTAAAAGGGGGGCAGTACGAGCCCCAAGATCCCGCAGAGGAGGAGGCACCCTTACAGCAAAGAGGAGCCGTCTTCCGATGGCACCCGCTCCGCTCTCAGCCTGCCCGAGACCCCCGCTGCCT